CCATGGCATCCCTGAAAGAGACGTTGTCTGCAAGTCATCTTCTGCTTTGATTTTTTTTAATGGTTATGGTATTTCACTTGATATGTAATATCTATGTGTTGTATGTACATGTGGGTGCATGATCATGTGGGTGCCCCTCTGTTTATGTGGAGGCCAGAGATCAACCTTGGGTACTCTTATGACCCATTGACTTTGTTTTCTCAAATGCTTTTATTAGCATATATTAATTATGCATAACATGGATTTCATTATGACTTTTTTATGTATGTATATCCTGACACACTTTGGTCATATTCACTTCCTGTTTCCCTCTCTCATGCACTTCCCATGCCTCCTTATCCCTTTCCTCTTCCTAACAAGTCCTTCTATTTTCCTGCCTTTTTTAATGACATTGTAAGGGCTGCTTACAAGGGCAGGGGTGAGGGACAGGTTCTTTACTGGACCATGGGCACCTCACCAGTGTTGACACCATTGAAGAATATGTCTGTCCCTGCCCTAACAACCACTACCTGGCTATTAATCCTCAGGGGAGGCTTCATGAAGTCCTCCCTCACGTGATAAGATATTGACAGTGGCAGTCCTGTGTGGATCTGTTGTATGTTTGGCTCATTTCCTTGACTCGAATTAGCTAAATTGTTTCTAGTATTTCCTTAATGATCATAGGAAAGGAGAAGCAACCCCCTTTTTAACCCTCAGATTGCTAATTCTGTGTGGCACAGCATTTGGGTACAATCGACAAGAGACGGGCTCCTTGTCCTTGGGATCATCAAGCCCCAATGGCTATTAAGCTGCACTAAAAACCACCTGCTTTTAGTAGTGCCACGAACAGCTGCTTGGCTGTTCCTATTGGTTCTGGTGTTAGGATAATGTCTTCTGCTTTGGTTTTTGAACTTCCCGGAATGGCTTGAGACTCATCTGAACATCTTCCCTGGCACAGGGTGAAGTCCTGGGTATTACCAGGTTTGGCCTGGCCAAGATGAAGGAGAGTGTCTTGATGCTTGCCTCCTTTGAGAAGACAGCTGACCATCTCTTTGATGCTGCTTACTTTGGGCAGAAAGACTCTGTATGCGGTAGGTTTGCAATCTCAAAGGCCTACTGCTTACAGAATGAAGGGATCATTTGTCTCCAGAGTCTAACTAAGGCACCCTGCCCCCCTCTCCCCATTCTGTGAGCTCCTTTCAGTGCAGACAGTTCTTCAGTTCCAAAAAGAAAATATGGACCCTGAGCCAGTGGAGACCTTTCAGTCCTTGAAGCTGTACTTGGCCACATTGACTAACAGCCTACATGTTGTCCAGGATTGACAGGAGGTAGACAGTGGAAGAGCCTCCAGGTGTAGCAGTAGGGTATTCTGTGGTCCTGCCTCCTTGTGAGGCACTGAACAACATTTTAAGAGCCAAATAGGACAGAAAATGGGGAGACACAGGTTAAAGATTGAGAGAGAGAGAGGTGATGGGAAATCCTGGCGTGGGGATGCACACCTTTCATCCCAGAACTCAGGAGGCAGAGGCAAGCAGATCTCTGTTGAGTTCAAGGCCAGCCTCTTCTACATAGCAAGTTCCAGGCCAGTCAAAGCTATGCATTTTGAGACCCTGTCTTCAAAACAACATCGAAGTGAAGTGAAAGAAAATTGAGGAGGGTTAGAATGGGAGAAGCCTATGCACAAGCCAGAGTATATCTGTCAGACACCATGACTGAAACCTAGCACCCACCACCAACACTTTTGTCACCTTGGCACAGCCTCTGTCCCCCACAGTACAGGAAATGTCCCGTCTCTATGCTGAGAACACTAGCCCAATGTTAGATCTCACTGTGTTGGGGTTAGTTTGTCTCTTTGCCTCTCTGTTCTGGAGTTGTCTTTGGCATCAACATAGAATGCATTTACCTCCTGTTTCCTTCCTGTAGAATCAAGAGTCCTAGCATAGAGCCTTAGAGTCTTGATTTGCACCTGGATGGTGGTTGCTCATGGCTTTAGTCCCAGTACTCTGGAGGCATAGGCGGACAGATCTCTGAGGGGCAGCCAGGACTACATAGAGAAACTCTGTCTCCAAAAACCATTAAAAAAAGAGAGAGAGAAAAAAAAGGGAGGGAGGGAG